GTGGTGGCGTGGATGCGTACCCCACGCAGCCCGGAGGGGAGGCTCGGGCTTGCTGCCGGGTTGGGGTTTAAAGGTTGCAGTTCTCCCTGGTGAGAGCACAGCGATGCCTAGACCCTGGCCCTGGCCCCAGGGGTGTCTGTGAAGGCAAGGAGGGCAGCAATAATTTCTCTGAAATGACAGGATTCCCTGTGTTTTCTCTCAATCTGAGAGTACTGAAGGGGAGTCTGCCAGGCTTGGGCTGCTTTGACTCCCCGCTCAGGCCTGGAGGAAAGGGTCGAGCTCTCTGCGCTGCTGGTGAGAGCGCCGCCTGGGACCCCGGCGGGCTGGGACGATGCTTGGTCTGGGATGGATGGGTCTGTGGGTCCGCTGGGGTGCTGATGGCTGGGTGCATCTTGTCTCCGGGTGGGAGAGCTGCCAGGCTGGGAGCCCCGAGCACCGGTGGCCCGTGTGCCCAGGCCGCACTGGGACAAGCTTCGCCGCCCGTGTCCTCGTTCGTGTCTGCTGTGGAGAGAGCAGCTTTGAGGGAACAGGTCTCCGGGCTTGGGTCAGAGCCAAGGGGGTCTCTGTGGCGGGGGGGGCCCGCTCAACTCTCTTCTTACCCTTGTCGCAAGCTGCCTTCCCTGGATAACAGTCCCCTGCCAGCTGGGCTAGCCTGGACTGGGGGTTAGACGTTGAAACCTTTGTGTACTACCTCACATCCCCTAAAATAGCTCGTCCCCCTGGAGCAAACTGCTGCCAGGAAGGAAGAGGGTTTTATTTCCTGCCTAACTTTGCCCTTCTCTCTGGCAGGTGCCAGTGTCGGAGTCCCTCTCGGTGTATGTGTGGTAACAACATGTCTGTCCCCCTCCTTGCTGATGCAGTGACTGTCTCAGGGGCAGAGCGGGAGACTGCTGCGGTAAGGGTGCTGCGGGTGGGGCTCAGCCAGCTGGGACGGGCCCCTGCTTTGATCTCGTTCTTCTTTTCTTTTAGCGCTGTTAAAGAGGAGCTGTTTCCCGTGGCTCAGAGCAGGCTGTGAACTGAGCCTGTAATGCTCTAGCTTTTCAAACATGCATCTTAGTGGCTGGTTAAAGGAGGTGCAGGACGAGTGAGGTCTCTTTTTGCTGGGGAAAAGTAACTGGTTCCTCTGGGCTGGACCATTTGTTACTGGCCCAGCGCAGAAGCAATGGGCAAACCTCAAGCCTGTCTTAGATTTAATGCCTGTCGAGGATGGGTTTTTGCAAGTCTTTGGTAAGCTCAGCCTCATCTCAAACTGGTGTCATTCAGGCGTCATGAGATGGTCCATCACTAACTGGCCCTCTGCTAAGCTGGGCAGCCGAGGGAGCAGTTGACACCCACAGCCTGGCTGTGACAGCAGACGCTGGCACGATGATGATGGGATGGTGGTGTAGCTGTTCCACCCATCCGTCATGCTCAAAGATGCAGAGACATGTCATTAGCATTGGCTAATTCCTGCCTAGTCGAGTCTCCTCTCGTTAGTGACTAAGTGGCCTTTTGCAGCGTCCCTGCAGCTTCCCTGTGAGCCCAGCCCTGCCTCTCTCCCAGGGCACCAGCTGTCGCCCCAGCTAATTCTTTTTTTTTTTTCTGCTTAATTTAACAGGTCATTTTTTTACATGGGCTTGGAGACACAGGGTGAGTATTCCTGGATCCAGCTCTGACTGTGGCGTGTGGCTTGCTGAACGGATGGCTCTGCTTTGATGGGGGTTGGCAGGATGCCTTGTTTGCTAGCAGATGAGCTGGGAGGGATGCTCTGAGAGAGCCTGGGCCCGGCCACTTGCTGTGAGCCCCACGGCTGCTCTCCTCAGGGGTAATTCCAAGGTTTGTCTCGGGCTTTGATCTTGACCATGATAGCCCTAATAGGGGATTTCTGGCCAGCAGCTGTGTGCACTTCAGCTTGAATATTTATGACCCTGGTGGCCCGACAGCCCCCCGTGGGTTTGATTTTCTGCTTTGTTTAAGGCAAGCAGATAAGCACTGCAGTTTTTTCTGTCCTTGGGAGGGCTGGGAGAAGGGTTGTGCCTAGGTGAGTGCATCTCTGTGTGTCTCGCAAGGCCACGTTAGAGGACAGTGTCAGATATAGCAGTAACAAAAGGCTTTTCCCTGCAGAGGAGGTTCTCTCTCCTCCCTTGCTGATAGCAGCTCCTCTGCCTTGAACTGCTGGGCTTTGTGTGCTGCATTTGCCCTACAGTAGAGGAGATCTGTACTGGGGATTCACATTGAGCTGCTGGGGTGGGTAGGACCTGGTACAGCAGCATTGGGGCAGGGAAAGGGGCTCGGCAGCCCTGGAGAGAACCTGTCCTTGTCGGGGGAAATCCCTTGCATCCAAAATGGTAAGGCAAGCTTTGAACTGCCTCTTCTCCTCTCTCCCTAGGCACAGCTGGGCTGATGCTCTCTCCTCTATCCGCCTCCCCTACGTGAAATATATTTGCCCTCATGCGTAAGTGCCGCCCTTGCCTTGCAAGGGGCTTGGGAGAGCCTGGGTGGGTGGTTGCCCTGGGCTCCTGCTGCCCTGAGTGTCCGGGCAGGCAGACAGGGGCCTGTGCCCTGTTGTACCCGCAGGGCTGTGCGGTGAGGCTTGCTCTCCTGCTGTGGGCACTTTGTGCAGGGGGGGCCCCTCGGCTGACATTTTCTGCCTGCAGGCAGAGGGGTTTCCCACAGAGCCTGTCAGTGTGGGAACTGCTACTCTGAGGCTGTTTTCTCCCCTGTCCTGCTCCTCAGCCTCTCCCTGGTGGCTGCAGCAAAAACCAGAAAGCACCAGAGCTCCTACCCCTTCCCCTTCCTCCTGGTTGGGAGCCAGGCAGGAGGGGGGCCAGCAGAAAGGGAAGGAAATGCTCCTCCCCGTGTCCTGCTGAGCATTTCCCCAGTGTCAATAGTGGCCTGAGCAGGGACGCACTCACCAAGCTGGGAGAGCTCCGTCACAGCATCCCTCACAGCAGGGACCTCGGCTTCCCAGCGTCCCGTCTCTGAGCAGCTCCCGGCTCAGCAGCAGCAAACAGGAGAGGCAGGCGCAAGTGCTCGCGTCCCCAGGGGGACTGCTTGGCAACACTGTGAAACAGCCAGCTCGGTGGGACCTGCTTGGTGCTTGGGGGAGCTCCCTGGGGTTGCCCATTGGCCACCCCAGCGGGCTCCGGAGGCACTGACTTGCCACTGTCCCTTGGCAGAGATGTCCTACAGCTGTGGGCAGGGAGGCTGGACCCCCCACTCCCATCAGCACTGACTCACTTCTCTTGCACTCGAACTGAAACACAAACTCTTTTTCTCTGCAGGCCTCGGATCCCCGTAACCCTCAACATGAAGATGGTCATGCCCTCCTGGTCAGTGCTCTGGGTGGCAGGGCTGTATGGGGCAGGGGGCTCTCCAGAAGCGGGTAGGACCTTGGGCACTTTTTGGGGGTGAGAGGAGTTGGGGATTGGAGAGCCAAAATCCACCATCCTGGAGGAGTCAGGGGAAGGGCAGAGCATGCCCAGCTCCCTCCTCCCTGCACCCTGGGTACAGGGAGAGTTTCGGGGCTGATCTTGCTTGTTCTCCCAGGTTTGATCTGATGGGGTTGAGTCCGGACGCACCCGAGGACGAAGCTGGGATCAAGAAAGCTGCAGAAAACAGTAAGAGGCTTTGGGGAGGGGGAAGCCCTGAGCTCCTGGGCTCCTCTTTGTGGGACAGGAGCTGGTGTTTTCCCCCCACCTCTCCTTTTTTCTGCTGTCCCATGGTCCTAGCCCACCTTCTCCTTCACTGAGGCCAAGCACATTCAGTCCATGAGGCCTCAGGTGATGCTAATCAGCCCCGTATCTTTTACTGACCCATCTCTCTGGCTTTTTCCAGTTAAAGCAATTATCGAACACGAGGTCAAGAATGGGATCCCACCCAACCGCATCATCCTGGGGGGCTTCTCACAGGTGAGCTGGGCTGCACAGGCAGAGCAGACCTGGGGTTCAGTCTCCTTTCCCCCCTCCGCGGACACCCCTCAAAGGGAGCACCAGATCCCCTGCGTCAGCTCCACCTCGTGCGGCAGGGAGGCACGGAGCGAGCTGGCGCTGGCAGGTGCCTGCGGGGGCAGGTCTCCCAGTGGTGCTAACAGATTTTCCTCATCCTTGCCTGTTGCAGGGTGGTGCCTTGTCGCTGTACACGGCTCTCACCTGCCAGCACCAGCTGGCTGGCATCGTGGCGCTCAGCTGCTGGCTCCCGCTGCACAAGGCCTTCCCGCAGGTATGCTGCGCTGCTGCTACCTACCCCGCATGGCCACAGGAAGAGGGAGTCTTGTCTGGACTCTACCGCTGCGAGCTCAGCCTGGGGCTTCTGGAGGCGGCGGGGGCTTGCTCCTGCCTCCTTGCTCAGGCCTGGGACAGGCGAAGGCACAGCCGAGACTGGGGCCTCTGCCTCGGATCGGGTGTGGGCACCTGCCCTGCAGTGAGCCCTGCCGCTCCCCAGACCTCCTCTCGCCCGCTGGGTAGCAGCTCCGTCCTGGTGGCAGCCTGGGAGGAGGCATTTGGTGGCAGGGCAGCAGCCACTGTGTGAGCAGCTCTCCCATGTCCCTCTCGAGGAGAAGAGCTGCCGGGTGACCTGCTCTGGGATGGGCATAAAGCACCTGCCCTGTTCCCTGGTGGGGATCCCCTCTCCTGGGCACCCCTAAGCGCTTCCTCTCTTACCACAGGCGGCGAGTAACGGTGTGAACAAGGACATCGCCATCTTGCAGTGCCATGGGGAGATGGACCCCATGATCCCCGTCCGCTTTGGAGCCCTCACTGCTGAGAAGCTGAAATCTGTTGTCACTCCCACCAAAGTCCAGTTTAAAACCTACCCCGGCGTGATGCACAGTTCCTGTCCTCAGGTCAGTGCCTTGGGGCAGAGAGAGGGGACAGGGCTGTCACGGGCTGGTCTTGCCTTTGGGAGTGACACCTACCCCATGGGACAGGCAGGGCAGGGAAGAGCTTGAACCCAGTGAGTAAAATCTGCTGCATCTGGGACACCCGAGACGTGTTTGTTCCGTTTCACCCTGGAGGAGGCTGTGTGGCCCTTGTGCCCCACGTGGTGCAAAGAGCCTGGTTCGGGGCATGGCCAGGAACGTGCTGCGTTTGCAGTGCTGTCCTTGCTGCACCGAATACCAGCACCCTGGCGTCTCGCGGGCTCCCTGCCTGCCGGCCCCGGCGTGACGGGCTCTGTGGTCTCTGCAGGAGATGATGGCGGTGAAGGAGTTCATTGAGAAGCTGCTGCCTCGGATCTAAGCGGAGCCAATCGAGACTGTCGCAGGGAAGGACGCCAAGGTCGCAGCCGCCGATCTTTCCCCCGTGACCTGTCAGCTGCAAACGGAAGCCATGGCAACCAACCTCACCTCCTGTCGTGCCCTGGCTGCCTCCTCTCCCCGTCTCTTAGCACCATGCCCTCTCTGGCTGGGGGTGCCCCGTCTCGCCCTGCCGCTCTCGGAGCTGAGATTGGAGCTGTCTAAGGCAAGTCTTCAAGCGGCCTTTTCTCTCCTCTTGCTCCGAGCGGTTTCTGCAAGGGTTACCATCCCCTCGATTCCCTGTCCAGGCACCACAGCGCGTGAGCCTGGTATGGGGCAGGCGAGGTTTTATTTGTTACAGTATTAGGGGTGGGTTGTTGCCCCCATGCGGCAGGAGGAGTGGTGTGGGCACAGGGCAGGGCTCGGGCCCCCTCCAGAGCCCCTCTGTGGCTCAGAGCAGCCGATGCTCCTCCTCTGCCCTCAGCTTGGCCTCTCTGCAGCTGCTCTTGGTCCCTGCTCAGGCGATTCACGGGTTTTCGATCACAGCTCAGGAACCCGGGACTCTCCTGCAAGCGCCTAAAGGCCCAGGGAGAGGCTCTGCTCTGGGCTGGGACCTGCAAAGGCTGCCCCGTCTCCCAGGCCCTGACAGGATGGCATCTGTGCGGCCCCTGCAAGTCCCGTGTCCTTGCAGGGGGCTGCAGCCCCTGCCCTGTCGCACACGCACACTCCCCTCCGCGGGCTCACCCTGTGCTCCAGCAGTCTGCTGCCAGCCTGCGGCAGCTCTGTCCTCCTCAAGATAATCACCTCCTTCCTCCTCCTCTTGTTGCTTTTACAATCTCCTGTGCCCTGCACGGGAGGGACTGCGAGACACGTCTGCCTCCCTCAGCCCCGTTCGGTGCTCTTGGAGCCCCAGGCAAAGCCCTGCCGTTTACAGCTGGCTTCCCCGGGGCTTTGCCGTGAAGCCTGCCTGGCACTGGCCCGTCCTTCATGTCTCTCTTGCTGCTACTCCTCCTTCCCTTTGGACTCGGGCTGGCTCAGGGGTGGGAGAGGAGAGGCGAGGAGAGGGCTCCAGGCCCTGAGGGACGGCTCCTGTCCCAGGCTGGCATCGCTGGAGGAAGCAGGTTTGCTCCCAGCTGTCATCTCACCAGCATCTAGTGCCAGGGAGGCACTGTGCCCTGTCCTGCAGGCCAGCACGGAGGTCTCCTTGCACTGGGGCGAAGGCTGCAGACGCTGTTGGCCTTCCTGTGAACAATCAGAAGGTGCCCGAGGGCTGCCCCGGGCCCTCGCCTCAATCAGCTGGCTGGAGGCCGCAGCCAAGGTGTCTCCCGTCCCCTGGTGGTGGCCGGGCAGGCTGGGGCCAGTGCGATGGGCCGTGCTGGCGCCTGACGGAGGTTGGCACTGGCCAAGGCGCAGCGCTAGGAACAGCCAGGCCCACAGAGCAGCCCCTGGGGAGCACCGAACGCCC